GAGGGATGGGAGCGTGGCGGTGCTCCCGGCGGGATCGGCGGGGAAGCGGCGGGTCCCTGTGCTCCGAGGCTGCTCCACCCCCCGGCCCCGTGCAAGGCGCCTGGAGCGGCTCCCGATCCGGCTGTTTGCAGCGGGAGCCGCCGGGAAAGGCCCGGGAAGCTGCTCCGCGCGCCTGGAACGTCCCGCGCTCGCAGAGCCGGCAGCGGCCCCCCAGTCCTCCAGGCTTCCACTAACGCACACCGGGACACACTCGCACGGGAGGGACGGAGGGAGGGAGGGGAGAGGGAAGGTGCCAAAAACCCGGGAAAACCGGGACGAATCCCGGCGTGCGGCTGCGGGCGCCTACCTGACGTTGATTAGATACTGGGCCAGGCTGATGCTGGCGGCGGAGCCGGTGATGGTGACCTGGCGGTCGGTGGAGCCCTCCACGGGGTTGGCGATCTTGATCTGCGCGCCCGACATCTGGCGGATCTCGTTGATCTTGGCGCCCTGGCGCCCGATGATGCAGCCGATGAGCTGGGGGGAGCGGCGCCGTTAGACACCGAGCACGGAGCGCGGCCCGGATCCCGGATCCGCATCCCGCAGCCGCAACCCCATCCTGCGTCCCGCAGCCGCATCCCGGATCTGCATCCTGCAGCCGTATCCCCACCGTGCATCTCGCAGCCGCATCCTGCAGCTGCATCTTGTATCTACATCCCGCATCTACATCCCATATCCCACGGGTACATCCCGTAGCTGTATCCCCATCCCGCAACCGCATCTGCAACCCGCATCCCGCAGCTGCATCCCGTACTGTATCCCCATTCCACATGGTGCAGTGGCATCCCGCAGCCGCAGCCCATAGCTGCATCCGGCATCCACAACCTCATCCCACTTCCCGACGCCGCTGCGGAGACCCCCGGGAGGGTTTTCCCGTCGCAGGCGGCTGGGGAAGGGCAGCCGGGGCCGGTAGCCGCTTGGAGCGGCCGCGGGGCCCCGCTCGGCACATCCCGCCCAGGCCGGCGTTCCCGGGCGTGCGGTACTCACATCATTTGGAATGGTGAGTTCGTGGGAAGTGGTTTGAGCGGAGGCGTCCAAACCTGGCAGGAGAGGCGGGAAGCGGCGGCGCTGAGCGGGACGCGGCGCCGCTCCGGGCGCGCGGCTGCCGCGAGGAGCGGGAGGGCAGGGCGAGCCCTGGGGTCACTGCCACCCCGGCCCCCTCCCGGCTCCCGCCGGCGCCGGCTCCGCTCGCTTCCCACCAGGAGCGCTCCCAGCGCATCCAGGAGCCCCCAGGGCGAAGCCAGGGAGGGTGGTGGTAGGGGGGGGCACACAAAAAAAGGCCAAAAGGGGCAAAACGGCGGCGGCGACGCCACGGGTGGGCCCGAGGGCTCCCGGGCAAGCGCCACACTCTGAATCCCGCTCCAAATCCCACTCTCCGCAATCCAAAGCAGGGGGGGAGGCGGGCGGCAAAAGGAGGACGAGACCCCGGGTGGGATCGAGGCACAACAGAGAAACTGGGAGGTTTTGTGCGTTTCCATCATTACCCCAATAGCCTTTCACCTCCGCAGAGCTGGAGTCAATGCCTGTTAAGACACAAGCGACAGTGAGTTGGGGCCGCCTGGAAAAATGTGGAGCCCCCAAAAACAGGGATGTGCAGCCGGGTTCGCTCCCCGGCGCGGCTCCAGCGGGAGCGGGGCCGGCCGGTCGCGGCGCTCCGAGCGCCTGGGACGAGCCGAGGAGGATGAGGATGAGGAGGAAGGAGAGCGGAGCGGCGCCGGAGGCGGCGCGAGCCGGAGCGCGTTACCTGGCCGGGGCTTTTGGGGAGAAAGGGGGGGATTTGGGGCACGCGAGCGCACGGCAGGGCCCGGCGCGTCCGTACCGCTGAATCCAGTGTTGCCATGGGACATGGGGAAGTGCGACTGTTGCATCGCCAGCTGGTGCAGCTTGGTCAGCTGGAGGGACACAAGAAAGGGAGCCGGTCAGGAGTTTCCCGGGAGCGCTGGGATGCAGCAGATCCAAGGGGCTGTGTCCGACCCCCTCGCGGCACCAGGAGCCGCCAGGAGACAGGAGCAGGGAAGCGGAAGGAGCTGCCTCAGATGGGTCCCCGGGATCTGCCCTTTCCCGAATCCGCTCCGCCGGGGGGCCGGGACAGCTCCGAGCACCCCACCAGGAGCCCAAGGGACAAGGGGGGCGTCCAACAACAGCCGGCACCACTGCTTCCCATTCCCACAGGCTGGAATCAGCCCCAGCCGGGTGCTGCCCCCACCCCTTCCCTGCTGTCCCTGTCCCCAGGAAGCCACCACGTCCCCACCCCGAGCGGATGCCGCAGCTCGTGTGAAATGCCAGGCTGGGAATGGCATGGGAGGGAAGGGAAAAAACATAAGGAAAAGGAAAAAGGAGGGAAGCGTCCGAAAGGAGGGAGTGGAGAGGCCAGAAGCAGCAGCATGAGGGCGGCGAGTTTTTTAGGGGGGAGCTCAGAGCGGCTCCAGTGGAGGAAACGCAGAGAAAATCTGGGATGAAGAAAGGGAAAAGGTACAGGGTAGGAGAGAAGGGGGGATTTGGAAACAAGAAGTCGGGAGTCAAAACTTACATCTGGCTGTGGAATGGCATACTGTCCTTGAATGGTATAGGCCTAAAAAAGGAGGAAAAGAGTCCTATTAACAACGGCGGGACAGGCCCCCGGGACAGGCAGCTTTCACATTGCCAGGAGGTCGGAGCCGAGGTCGGAGAGTTCTCCGGGGCGAGGGAAGCGGGGCAAGGAGAGGCAGGGGACGGATAGGGCTGCCCAGCACCTCTGCGGGGGCCATGGGGGCTCTACAGGCGGGAGTCGCTCCCGGTTCGGTGCCGGTTCCGGCTGGGGCAGGCAGAGCGCGGCGCCGTCCCCCCCAAAAAAACACCGGAAAAACAAAAGCCGAGAGGATCTCGTGGCTGGCGGGATCGCAAACGGAATGGCCGGGATCTCCGTGACGATGTTACGGTTGCAGTGGAGCCCCCCCCGGGCGACCCCCCGCAGGGCTCCGCTCCGGAGCCCCGGGAACAGCGCCCGGGAAGCGCCGACACCCTGCAGCGTTCCCAGGGACAGGGACGTCCCGGAG